CTAGATTCTATCCACCCTCAACCACCCTTTTTCCTCTGAAGGAAAAGTTGACTCCAAGTTATGCAGCCTACGTTTTTTCCATGCTCTTTTGATTATCTTGTCTCTAAAATGGGGCTTCGGGTTTCCTCATGCCCCGCCCACTATAGATGTCACTGTTTTCAGGTTGCTTGATACTGTTTTCAGGTTGCTTGATATTGAAAAGAGATTCATTTCCTCTAATGGGAAAAATTCCTTTTAGATATGAAACGTGTAATAGTACATTAGTAGTCTTTGTAAGATGTGTCAATATCTCAGTTTTGTCATTTCAATAAGAGTAGCTATTAGTTGTTTGTTTAGTTATTTAAAATAGTTGTAATGGTTAAGGGTAACTTATAAAAACTAAGAAAAAAATCAGGCTGGGCACAGTGTCTCATGCCTGTAATCCCAGCACTTTTGGAGGCTAAGGTGAAAGGATATCTTGAGTCCAGGAGTTCAAGACCAGCCTGGGCAACGTGGCAAGACCCGTCTCTACAAAAAAATATAAAAATTAGCCAGGTGTGGTGGTGTGTACCTGTAGTCCCAGCTACTCTGGAGGCTGTGGTGGGAGGATTGCTTAGGCTCCAGAGGTCAAGGCTGCAGTGAACTGAGATCATGCCACTGCACTCCAGTCTGGGTGACAAAGTGAGACCCTGCTACTAAAAAACAAAAAGAAAAAAATCAAAGATATACAAAAATTATCCTATGATATAGATAAAAACCCACTTACAAGTGTTTCTTTAGAATTGTAGTCAGTATTTATGTACAATTAAATCTAGAATAATAGCTCAAAAGCTAGACATCTACTGGATTAATTTTTTTTCTTGAGTATACACCTGAAGTGGACATTGCAAAGAGCAAAACTTCATATAATACCTGCCATTTTAGCACATAATATTTTGCAATTTAAATTTATCCCACCTTATACATCTTGTAAAAGCCCAAAGTTAAAGAAGTGTTAAGGATCAATTATTTTAACTAAGATTTACCAGTTGACTCCCTTTGTTAATCTTTACTGAGATTAGTACAGAAAGTTATATAATTTGGTGAAATGAAAAGCTCTATATGCAGTCTCCATAGCACATCTCTTGGATACATTGAAATGTGGAGAAAGAATAAAAAGAATCCAAATTCTCAGCTGCTTCCAGCTGCCAGACCATCTAAAGTTACACATTCTCATACTGCCTAAGTTTTGTCCACAAATGGAAAAAAATGACCAGGAAGAAATATCTTAGAAAACCCAAGTAGTAGCTCTCAGAATCATATAGCACCAACATTTCTCCCAGTCAAGTCACAATTCATAAAATGAGCAAAAATAAATAAATAAAGAAATAAAAGCACACAAAAGCAAAAACCACAGCTGTGATTTTTCCGCATAAACATGGCTGTGACACCTGCCATATGATAGTCCTCTTGCAACTAACTACTTAGGGTATCTACAGTATCTACAGGACTAATTCATGACCTAACCCCACCTCTCAAACGTGCTCTGCCATTTCTCAGACTCTTCTCTATGCCATCTTGTCTACCATTTGCTCTGGAGTAATGATTTTCATTCTCGTTCAGCCTCCAAATCATTTTGCTTCTGCCTGGATTAATTATCTGGTTTTGGAACCTATAAACCCTATAAAAAGTCTTCTTGGGCATTCTAACATAATTCTACAACTTTAATCACTTTGGAGCCATTTAGAATTTGCCTGCTATGTACTTCTGTCTTTGTTGATCATCATCAATATTTAAAAGCACACTGATATTCATAAAAATATTATTGTATGATTGTACCTGCTTATATACATGTAGTGATATTAATCAATGATTCAGATCAATCAATGTTTTCATTTGTTGTGTGAGTACATTAACATCATTACTGATTTCCACAAACTACGAATGTATCTCTTTGCTATGCTGCATCAACTGTGTCTATGATTATGAAGACAATACTCCTTTAACATCAAGCAGAAAGGAATGGAAACATTTTTGCCTACAAGACATCATCCACATTATCATATTAAAACAATAAACATTTTGGCCATTTGAGAATGTACTGACTGTACTGAAATCATGTAGGTTGTTTGCAAATTGATTATTCATTCTGAGGAGAGCCCTGGCTCACCTCCTGCCAGCCTTTTAACAACCCTTTTTCCCTAGATTAAAGGTGATTAGGGTGTAACATGTGTTCCTCAAAGTATTTACAATTGCATGTTCTTTATCACTATAAAGATAAAATGGCTCCATCTATTATATTAAAATTTAATATTCTTTCCATCAGAGAAAATTTGATTATATGCCTTGCAAATACACACACACACACATACATGTGTACACACATAAATACAAGCACATACATATGTACATACACACACATACATACTACATACATACATACACACAAAAATAGTCTTACACTTTTAGGACAAAATATTTTTCCTCCTAATATAGGATAACACTAAAAACTTCCTTATAGTAAAAAAAAAAAAAGTCTACATTGACAAGTTTAATCCCTTTTTCTCTAGGAGAACCTCAGGCATATATGTGTACATGTATTTTCTTGGAGTGGGAAGAGGGTGGATCATGAGAGCTGTGCTAACGGTGATAAAGGAGAAGTCCATGAACTTATATCAACAATATTTGTTTAATGTCTACTACATAGCAGGAACTTCCAGATGCTGTGGAATACAAAGTTAAACAAAATATATTTGAACTGGCGCTTAGCTACCATTATTATAATAATCATTACTTAGTGGTGCTTAGCCAATCCCATCCAACAGGCATAGAAATCTCTTTTATCACATACCTAATAAAGCCTCTTCAATCTGCAAATGAAAATGAGTCAGAGAGTGACAGTTGTTTGAAAGTTTTATCATTATTATTACTTGCTAAAAGCTTCATATTTTATACCATAATATCATTAGCAGTTATTTCATTTTGCAGAACAAAATGGATACATCTACTCAGTTTTCAAAGCTAAAGATCCTTACATGTGGCAAGCTTTCTTTCTAATGCAATGTTCTACTCATTGTCATTCTCCCTATTCATTACTAAGTGCATCATTTTGTTACCCATTTAATATATACATGGCCCAAACTAAACAACATGGAGAGAGACAGTTTTTGGAGTAGTCACTACGGTCTTTGATTAGATTCTCTTATTCAACCTATATGATGCCTGTAATGATTTACAGATGAATCAGCACATATTCAGAGAGCTCAGAAAGCAATCACTCCAATGTCACAAAGCTAATACATGAAGATATGAGAATTTGAGCCCAGGCTTATCTCACTCTAGATCCCATGTTCTTTTCACTGCACCCTGCCATTATGTAACCAATGCGATGGCAGATGAATCATGGCCAAGGTAGTCTGAACGCTCTGGCTGGTTGAGCTATGGAAGGAGCTGCTGTGGCCAACACAGAACTGAGGGGACAAGACGGGAACATGCTGAGAAATGGCAGAGCATGTTTGAGAGATGGGGTTAGGTCATGAATTAGTCCTGTAGATATCCTATGTAGTTAGTTGCAAGGGGGCTATCCAATGGCAGGTGTCACAGCCATGTTTATGCCTAACGTGTGATGTTTATGCCTAACATATGCCCTGCATGTGATGTGGCATCTAGTAGACTCCTGGCACTTAACATTTCATGTTCTCCTCCTGGCATAAGGTTCCTCAGAATATATTTCAAAAGTAAAGAGAGTTAAAAAAACTAAAATGTGTTTTTAAGTAGTTCGTTTTCCTTAATCTTGACATCTAATTTGGTAATACTTCACTTAACTAAAAAACATGCCAGTATTGTATTAATTATTCAGTCCTTCCCAGGCTTCTGCAAGCTTTAATTAGTGAAAGACATTTTCAGGACAAGTTATAATTTGCATGCCAACAAATTTGTTTATAAATTACACAGTAAAGGTAAAACCTGGTAGTATGTCAACTTCCTTAACTGGGATCTACGACACAGCTCGGTTTGCTACAGCTTGTACCTGAATATGCAGCCCTAAAACTTGGTAAACGTTCTGTTCCTTTTAATTTCCTTACCCTAGACCTGTGATTACAATTTAATTTAATTTTTGTTGTTCTGTAAGTCCCTATTTGTTATAATAGCACCTCAATTCCACAGTCAAAGTCAATCTGTCCATAAATTAAACGAAACTGCATTTGTGATCTTAGATGTTTCCACAAAAATAAAGGGTTTTGACTTGGCCTAAAAGAGTACTGCCCATCCAGTAAGTAAAAAATATAACATCAGATTCATTAATAGATTTTGAAAGTCAGACTTATTTCAGGAAGAAGCAGCAAGAAGACTTGACTTCAGTAAGGCCACTTTGCCACGATGCCACTTGGTCACTTGTTCAAGGGACCAGGATTATACAGTGTCAGGATTATTATTATTATTTCCTTATTTTAACATAAATGCATTTTCTATATTGTACTCTGACTTTCTTATACTAAATAAAAATCAATTTATATCAATTTGTTACAGCATTATATTTGGCTTACAAATCCTTCTTGGTCTCAAGCATTAGCAAGTGTTCATTTTTTAGATTTCAAATTTTGCTTTAAAATCATTTCCTCAAAAAATTATATCAGAAGGTGATCTTATAAATGTCAACCAATCCCAAAGCTAGACCTATTAGACAGTATGCTCCTATCATCTCAGTGATTTCTCCCATCCAGAAAATCTGTGTCTGGATGAACAACTGATATGTGGAGAAATGATGGCAAAGACCACACTAATAAATATATAAAAGTCCTGATTTCCTTCAGAGTTTATTAATGTTTTTGAGGTTGGAGAAAAACTTCAAAGAGTCAGAGGCCATGAGATTAGAGCCAAATCAGCACAGGTGTTGCAAGGACATGGAGGAGACCACCAGCATCTGGGTGGAACAGCCCTGGGGTGGAAATATACTGCTTTCTATGCTCAGCATCACAAGTGATTCATCAAAAAGGCAGCTCCTCCGTGTTTTAATTTGAGCTGTTTCTCTCCACAGACACGTGACATGGGACTTTCGGTTCAGAGAAGAAGACAATCATAGAGATAAATTTCAGACATGAAGATCTGATTCAATTTGCTTCCTCCTTTGGATAACTATGTTGCTGTCAGTGTTTCAAATACACATGCCTGATTCTTCATCTCCTTTTCTTTAAAGACTTATGCAAGTGTATCTCTGGTGAGTAGACCCCCAACCAGTCATTTTGATCTGAAACAAACTGGTAAACAAAGACCATTTCTGCCTTTTCACTTGCATTTGCATCATTGCACAAACTGTTCCTCCTGACTGACATGATGTATTTACTTGTCTGTTTGTTTAACCTTTTATTTATGAAAAATTTCTACTTTTTGTAGATCAAAGATTAAACACACAGGCATACATCAGAGATATTGTTGGTTTGGTTCCAGACAACAGCAATAAAGTGAACATCGCAACAGAGCAACTCATGAATTTGTTGGTTTCCCAGTGCATCTAAAAGGCATGGTTACACTATGCTGAAATTTATTAAATATGCAATAGCTTTATATCTCAAAAGTTTATATATCTTAATTTTAAAATACTCATTGCTAAAAAAATGTTTCAGCAACTCATAACCATTTAACTGGTGGAGGGTCTTGTGCTGATGTTGCTGGCTGCTGACCGATCAGGGTGGTGGTTGCTGAAGGTTGGTGTGGCTGCAGCAATTTCTGAAAATAAGGCAACAATACAGTTTCCCACACTGATTGACTCTTCCTTTCACAAATGATTTCTCTATAGCATCTAATGCTATTTGATAGCATTTTACTCAAAATAGAACTTTTTAAATCGGAGTCAATTCTTTCAAACTCTGATACTGCTTTATCCACTAAGTTTATGTAATATTCTAAATTCTTTGCTATCATTTCAAAAATGTTCATAGCATCTTCACCAGGAGTGGATTCCATCTCAATAAAACATTTTCTTTGCTCATCTGTAAGAAGCAAGTCCTCATCTGTTCAATCTTTATCATGATATTACAACAACTCAGTCCCAACTTCAGGCTCCATTTCTAATTCTACTTCTTGCCACTTCTACCACATTTGCAGTTATTGAAGGCTTGAAACACTCAAGTCATCCATGAGGGGTGGAGTCAACTTCTTCCAAACTCCTGTTAATGCTGATATTTTGACTTCCTCCCATGAATCCTGAATGTTCCTGATGGAATCTAGAAAGATAAACTCTTTCCAGAAGGTTTTTCAGTACTTTGCCCAGATTTATCTGAGGAATCACTATCCACAGCAGTTGTGGGCTATAAAATGTATTTCTTATATAATAAGGACTGAAAATCAAAATTACTTCTTGATTCCTGGACTTCAGAATAAATGTTGTATCAGCAATGATAAAACATTAATCTCCTCATACATCTCCATCACAGCTCTTGGGTGACCAGGCACATTGTCAATAAGCTGTAATATTTTGAAAAGCACCTTTTTTTCTGAGCTGTAGGTCTCAATAGTGAGCTTAAAATATTCAGTAAAACATGCTGTCAACAGTTGCTGTCATCCAGGCTTTGTGGTTTACACATGTCGAGTAGATCTGGCATTAGTGTCTTAGGATTTTCAGAATTGTAAATGAACAATGAGTTCAACTTAAAGTCATCAGTTGCATTAACCACTAACAAGAGAATCAGCTAGTCCTTTGAAGATTTGAAGCCAGACACTGACTTTTCTCTAGTTAGAAAAGTCCCAGTTGGCATCTACTTCCAAGAAAAAGCTCTTTTGTCTGCACTGAAAATCTGTTGAGTGTAGCCACCTTCATCAATGATCTCAGCTAGATCTTCTGGATAATTGCTGCAGCTTCTACATCAACAAAAGTGCTTCATCTTGCACTTTTATAAGGACAACTTCTTTCTTTAAACTTCATGAGCCAACCTCTGCTAGCTTCAAACTTATTTTCCATCTTTCTCACCTCTCTCAATCTTCACAGAAGAGAGTTATGGCCTTACTCTGGATCAGGCTATAGCTTAAGAAAATGGTGTGGCTGGTTCAATCATCTACACAGACCACCAAAATTTTCTTCATATAAGCAATAGGTCTTTTTCAGTTTCTTATTATTTGTGTTTTTACTGGGGTAGTACTTTTAATTTTCTTACAGAACCTCTCATTGGCTTTCACAAGTTAACTATTTGATGCAAGAGGCCTATCTCAGCTTTTGGCACGCCTTCCTTACAATACTTAATTATTTCTAGCTTTTGGTTTAAAGTGAGGAATGAGACACAAAACTCTTCATTTCACTTGAACACTTAGAGGTCATTGTAGTGTTATTAATTAGCTTAATTTCAATATTGTTTTATCTAAGGTTATAGGAAGTCCCAAGGAGAGTAAGAAAAATGGAACAGGAGCAAGGTGGTGGAGCACTCATAACACACACATTTATTGATTAAATTTTCCATTGTATTTGGAAATGTTGCCCCAAGACCATTACAGTAGTATCATCAAAGATCAATTATCATAGATCACCATAACAGACGTAGTAACAGTCTGTTTTGTAATAGTAATGAAAAAGTTTGAAATATTGTGAAGATATCAAAGTGTGACACAGAGACAGAAAGTGAGCACATACTATTGAAAAATAGCATTGGTAGACTTATTCAACACAGAGTTGCCCCAAACCTTCAGTGAGAAGCACATTGAAACTAAGTGTAGTCAAATGAAGTATGTCTGTAGCTTCCTGGGAAATTCCTTCTCGACCTCCTAAAGTGAGGTTGGTTCAATTCATCCTTACTGACATAGGACCATGCATACTCACTATCAAAGAACGTAGTATGCCACATTGGGAATGCCAGTGTCCAGTTTACAGTAGGGAGAACTGCTCCCTTTAAAATGTAAAAAGCAAAACCAAAAACTTTTATGAGGTGAGACTTCCAGTGTGGCAAAATAAGTAATAAAACTGGACATTATTGCCAACAATCACCCCATCAGGACTCTGGAAATTGACCAAAGCAAACGTTGAACTAAAAAGTGGTCGTTTATTGTAAAGAAACAACTGAATTTTGAGTAAGAAGAGCGAGAGCCTGTGGCATCCTTGCTTGGGGCTTCGCCCATCCCCCACCACAGCTGAGTCACCGTGATAGTTCTACCAGAGGAGAAAAAAACTGAAAGTCTTTGCCAGAGGAGCCCGACCTGATATGAAGTAGAACAACGCAAGACGCCATGCTCAAGCAGCATTATCAGTAACAAGAGCAACACTGATGAGGAATCTACAGAAGAAAAGTGGCTCAGCAAGGATGAAGATGTGATATGGATTCAAGCAAACAGAATGGCAGAACCCCCAGGCAACTATCAGGGACATCCAAGAAATGAGAAAGATATGGGGTCCTTGATGAGCTTCCATATGTCTATGAGACTTCAGAGAAGTCAAGATCTTCACACCTTCCTCACTTTGGCCTGTGATTATCTGTAGAAGACATATGAGCATGCACAACAAAATTAAAGAAGGAAGAGACCCAAAAGCTGCCGAAACATTGAAAGTGTCCCCTGACCCACACAGATCCACTGTCACACAAGGGAAGACTTACTGTTTTGAGGTGTTAGACCACAACCCCTGATTAATGACTGGCTCGCCAATATGCTATTCAGACACAAAGATGACCCTAGGAAGCCAGGCGAAAAATAACAGTAATAATTATACATACACACAGAGTCATGTGCCACTTAATGCTTTGGTCAACACAGACAGCATATATAATAGTGGTCCCATAAGATTACAGTATCATGTTTTCGCTATATTTTGTTCTATGTTCAGATATATTCAGATATGTAAATACTTACCACTGTGTTACAACTGCCAAGAGTTCTCAGTACAGTCCCATGCTATACAAGTTTGTAGCCCAGGAACAATAGGCTACATCATATAGCTTAGGTGTGTAGATGCTATACATCTAGGTGTGTGTAAGCGCACTCTATAATGTTCACATAATGTGGAAATTTCTTAATAATGCATTTCTCAGAATCCATTCCCATTGTTAAGTGATATGAGACTACACACACACACACACACACACACACACACACACTTTCAACTGAGCAGAAACATCAGCAGCTACATGCCATGGGGAACAGAATCTATAGATTTAGTACACACAAGTCATTATAGAAACAAAACATGAATCTTTGAGGGGCAAAAGATCTGAATCCACAATGTAGAACTATTTTAATGGAAAAGGTTCAGGTTCCAGTGAAAAATTATGAACACAAAGGAAAGAAACAGTAGGTTTTTTCCAAGCTAATCCTATTCAAAAAATAAAAATAAAAAGCAAATCAAAACCATGTAACAAAAACTGTCACTGAGATGGCATAAATATTGGGCTTAGGAAACAAAAAAATCTAAGCAAGCTACTTTAAATATATTGGGGGAAAAAACTAAACAAAACCATTTTTAGGAATTAAAGAAAACATGATGAAAATAGCTCAATAACTAGAACATTAGTTATTATGATAATTATTTTTTAAATGACCTGGCAAAAATTTCAGAGTTGAAAATTACAATAGCTAAAACTTTAAGAAAAAATTACTATAGTGAATTAATACCCAATTCTACATGGCAAACACACACACACACACACACACACACGCACACACACACAAATCTGAAAAAACTATACCAATATTTTACAAACTCTCTCAGAAAATAGGAAATAGTGTCCACTATTCAAATTATTCTGCAAGGCCAGCATTAACTTGAATCTAAACCCAGACAGAGACGTTGCACACATGCACACATAATAATTAAACTATAATTTAATACCTCTCATTAATATAGATACAAAATTCTAATAAACATTAGCAAACCTAGTCCACCAGAATATAAAAGGTATTAAATAACAAGACAAAGTAAATTTATTCTCCAAAAGCAAAGCAAATTTATTCTCAAAATATAGGCCAGGCGTGGTGGCTCACGCTTGTAATCCCAGTACTTTGGGAGGCCAAGGCGGGCAGATCATGAGGTCAGGAGATCCAGACCATCCTGGCTAACATGGTGAAACCCCCTCTACTAAAAATACAAAAATTAGCCCAGCGTGGTGGCAGGCGCCTGTAGTTCCAGCTACACAGGAGGCTGAGGCAGGAGAATGGCATGAACCTGGGAGGCAGAGCTTGCAGTGAGCCGAGATCATGCCACTGCACTCCAGCCTGGGCGACAGAGCAAGACTCCGTCTCAAA